ACCCCTGACACGTGGTCCGCGGCCATTTTCCACCCCTGACACGTGGTCATAGGGAGGGGGACTCTCCCTCCAAGCAATAGCCGCCTCCCCGTCCCCCACGCCAGAACGGATTAATGGTAATTACATTGAATCTTATGGGGAAATTTGCTTCGGGGTGCGATCAATTCGGGGTGCGACCAGAGTCACGGAACGAATTAAGTTCGTAAACCGAGGTTCCACTGTAGAGCAAATGTGTGTGACGACTCTTTGCCTTACCCCCAGGTACGCAGCGACTGGAGGACGACTCGAGGTTGAGCCAGGAGCATCCAGAAGCTCTGGGATGGACAACCAGACGTCGTCTGCTCCTGTAAAGGATTCATGCACGTACCATGAAGAGTTCAAGCAGATCCTGCTGCCAGTGGTGTATTCCGTGGTCTTCGTGGTGGGGCTGCCCTTGAACTTTGTGGTCATCGTCCAGATCTGGCTGTCCCGGAAGGTCCTGACTCGCACCATGATCTACATGCTGAACCTGGCAGTGGCCGATCTGCTCTACGTCTGCTCCCTCCCGCTTCTGATCTACAACTACTCCCAGAAGGACTACTGGCCCTTTGGGGACTTCACCTGCCGCTTCGTGCGCTTCCAGTTCTACACCAACCTGCACGGCAGCATCCTCTTCCTGACCTGCATCAGCGTCCAGCGCTACCTGGGCATCTGCCACCCGCTCTCCACCTGGCACAAAAAACGGGGGAAAAGGTTCACTTGGGTCGTGTGCGCCCTGGTCTGGATTGTGGTCACCGCTCAGTGCCTGCCCACTTTCCTCTATGCGTCCACCGGCATCCAGAGGAACCGGACCGTGTGCTACGACCTGAGCACGCCGGAAAACTCGGCCAGGTACTTCCCTTACGGCATCGCCCTGACCGTCACGGGGTTCTTGATCCCCTTCGTCTTCATCGTGGGGTGCTACTGCAGCATGACCAAGATCCTCTGCCAGAAGGACGAAATGATCGGGCTGGCCGTCCGCAAGAAGAAGGACAAAGCCATCCGGATGATTGTCATCGTGGTCCTGGTCTTCGCCATCAGCTTCTTCCCCTTCCACCTGACGAAGACCATCTACCTGATCGTCCGCTCCTTTCCCGAGGTCCACTGCCTTACCCGTCAGGCCTTCGCGATCACCTACAAATGCACCCGTCCTTTTGCTAGCATGAACAGCGTCCTGGATCCCATCCTCTTCTACTTCACCCAACGAAAGTTTCGGGAAAGTACTCGGCACTTACTGGATAAAGTCAGTTCCAAGTGGAAGCACGATTCTTGATGGACAGAACGGGTGGCATCTGGAAGAGTATCTGCTCCCGCACCAAGGACAGGCCAGGGGTCTTCCGCTTTGGCACCATCCCGTAGGCAGCCTCTTCTGTTCTTGGCATCCTGTGGCCCAACCAGCAGCAGAAAAGGGCCCATGGTCAGCTGGAGCTCAGAGGGCCAGCTCTGGAGGCAACGCCAGCCTCTGCAGAAGGTCCCTTCCCACGGAGAAGAGGAGCGATATTGTGTAAATCCTGGCCTGGCCATCCGTTCCTCTCTCTCTTAGGTTTGTGGCTGTCATGAACTGTTCCTAACGTTTGGAAGGTGATTCACTCCACATCTGGCTGGGGAGACCTCTGGATCCACCATCTGTGGGAAGAGAGGCTACGCAGCAAAATTAGAAGCAGAAACACCGAAGGCTGCTTTTATCAAGTACCCTAACTGACACCGTTCGAAGGAAAATCCCAAGCTAATATTTTTAACCAAACAGTCCAGAGGGGTCTCGAAGTCACAGCCCCGCAGCAATACTTTGTAGGTGCTGACCTTGACAAAATGAATACTTTTACCCAGTCATAAAGCCAAATATTGGCCTTCTGGTTAATGAAAAACGTGGCCAGCTAAGTGCCAAAGTGAAATGGCCCTGTTTCACAGCAAGGTGTTTGTTGGTTTTCAATTTAATAAATGTACAGTGAATGACATACCACGATACTCTTCAGCAGTGACTGACTAGAGATTTTGGTATCAATGTATGAAACGTCTCCAGAGCGGTGGCCTGTGAGCTCATGAACTTGTCCCGATGTGGCCTGTGAGATACATGGATTTAAGGCCCTCCTGTGGGAGGGGGGGTCAACTACAGGATCCAGAAGGGATTAAATACCCTGCTAAGAGCTCCTTAAGGGTCTCCAAACGTTACCCATGGATGGATCCTTGAGAAGGGATTTTGATCGTGCCCACTAGGGTCAAAGCGTGTGCAGCGCCTTGCACAAGCGCTCTCCATGCTGTACGCATCCTGACAAATCCTCCCAGCAACCAACTGGAAATGGATTGTGACTTAAAAGAATGTTATTTATGCACTTAGTTTTAAAACGGGGCTTGGATGCAGAGTTGGGCTGCCCCCAAATTCTACCCTTGTGTCTTCTGGGTCTCCTGGCTCCAAGAAGTGTCTTGAGAAAATGTACATTGAGGTTTTATTATATACAATAATTAATATATATGTGAAATATACATTGGATATATGGATGCTGTGTTTCTTCCCTTCGCATCCTTGGCCCATCGCTCTTTGCTTTGGGGTGTGGTGTCTGCAGCTAGACTGCAGAAGGATGGACCTTGTCAAGAAAGTAGATCAAATCTTCAGGCATGAGCTCGGCCCAGCAGCCACTGGCCACTGTGGGTCACGGATGGCCCTTTGCAGATGCATCCAGGGGGTCCCAAAACCAACATTGCCTCCATTCAGATACATTAAAAATACAGTCCCCAAATGCACGTTTGGGATGCAGGTGAATCTGAAAGGACCGAAAGAACAGTCTGGCCGGATGAATCGTATTTAATTAATTGAATCCTTTGAATAAAATGCAAACAGGCTGCGACTGTTCAGCCCAGAAAGGACAGTGACGTGCCGGCTGCTTTTCGTTTCAACTTCGGCACCCCCATCAGGTGGAAATTCCTACTTACAGTTCAGCAGCCTGTAAAGTGGTGAAGGGAGCCAGGAAGAGGCTTTTTAAAGAACGCAGTCGCCATGACTGGCAGAGAATTTCTCATTTGCAGCAGTCAAGCTTTGGCGTGCCCTAGGATGCAAGCCATGGTTACTGCCCTTCTGACAGACACATTGCAGACCTCCAAGGCGGCATTCACACAACACGCCTAACCGGACTAGTGAGATGGCGAAGGGCTGTATTTGCAGCATCTGCTAAGCTTGGTTGTTTCTAACACCGATGCGTTGTTGGTTAATTAGCACATTCTGCAAACCTTTCCTGTTCGGTTCGTTTCTTACTCGATCTCTTGCGCAAACCCTGAATATCGGGTGACTTGGTAACCAGGTTAAATATGTTGTGTGAATGCAGCCACAGAAATTTATTTATTTATTTATCGTATTTATATAGCCGCCCATCTCACACAAAGTGGCAAATGGAAAGGGGATTGGGGGATTTTGTTGAGGTTGACCAAGAAGGGCTCGTATTTCTCACTCCTTTGCAGAAACCAATTTCTGCAGCCAATTTGAGCAACTATCGAAAGACCTCCAAAACTCCCATTTGGGGCACGATCCTGCACCAAATGGCGATTGGAGTAGATTGACTTTGGCGTCCTTTTCAACATTATGTCTCTAGGATCCTGTGATTTATTAGATGTGCTAATGCAAGATGCTTTCCTAAGACCCACCGGCTGCATTTGCATATCCCACTGAGCTTGGTCCCTTTTGTGGTTAAGCATGTTTTACAAACGCAGCTCCCCCTTGGTTAGTGTATTGGTCGTTGTCTTCTGCAAATCCACAAAACAGGTGAATTCAGTACCTATTGTTGTGTGGTATGAACCAAGCGTCTCCTTTTGCCTCCTATTCCGCAACATCTTTGAGTTTCGGGTTGAAAACTGCATTGCAAACTTGGGGGGGAGGGAGAAGGGGAATATTGAGATAGAGATGGCCCCAGATTTTGGGGATTGCAGATTGAGCACAGGTGGTCCTCATTTAACAACCATTCATTTAGTGACCGTTCAAAGTTACAATGGTGCTGAACAAAGGGACTTACAACTGGTCCTCGCACTTACAACCGTCACAGCACCCCTGCGGTCACGTGATCGCGACCCAGCTGCTTGGCAACCAGCTCGAACTTACGATGGTTGGAGTGTCCCAGGGTCACACGATTGCCATTTGCAACCTTTCCAGCCAGCTTCTGGCAACCAAAATCAATGGGGAGCTACATGATTTGCTTAATGGCTACAGTGATTTGCTTAATGACTGCTGCAAAAAAGATCGTAAAATCAGGCACAACTCGCTTAACAACCGCCCTGCCTAACAATGAATATTCCAGTCCCTATTGTGGTTGTTAAGCAAGGACTACCTGTAGGTTCATATAAAGGGGTGAAATAGGACAAGAACGATGGAGAAAACAGTTTTATTGTCAATGAAATAAATTCATCTACCAAGCTGGTCAGTTTCTGTTGATGGAATGGAAATGATGCTGCTACATCACGGGACTCAGACCACAATATTCGTAGCCAGCTCTGCAGAGAGTTGGGGAAACCATTTGGTGAGGCATAATTTTCGGCAGGTCTCCCTGATTTTTGCAGCCCAGTCGTTGAATGTGTAAGCCCAGGGCAGAAATCTGCTCTTGCGAAATCCTCTTTTGCCTCTGATGAAAACCTTCCAGCGAAGGAGAGGCCACCACCGATCAGGGCTGTCCATTCCACCGTTGTAAACGATTAGGAAATTCTTCCTGTTGTCCCATGAAACCAACTTGCTCGTAATTTAAACTCCTGGTCTCTCGCTCTGCTTTCTGCAACAGGTTTAAGCAATTCTGCCGTGTTTTACAAGCCCTTCTGATACCTGAGGGCAGCGCTCTTGCCTCCCTGCAGACATTCTCATCCTGTGCAGGGTGAGGCTTTGTGACGGCACTCGCTTTGCAATACGCCAGTTATACGTTTGGGTGTGCAGCCCCGTCTAATGGGTGGCATACTGAGATTTTTTTCCCCTCATTTCTTTTTGACTTAGCAATCTCTCCGTGCCAGCGAAGATACCTAAAAGAATCCCCCCTCTTGGGTGTCAAGCATGAGATTTATTGCAAGAAATCAGAAAGAGTTTAGGGCAAATATATTGTTTTTGTTTCCCATTCCTGCCATCTTGACTTTTTTGACCCCTTCAGACACAGCTGACTGCAAGTATGGTCCAACCCGGGGTTGTCACATTTTGCTGCACTGTGACCCCAAAACATGAAACTTCAGACCACCTCCCTTGAATAAAGCTAATAATTTCAGTGAGGTTACAGCTGGGTGAGAAATAATTACTTTTCATAACTAAATTTTAACCCATCTATCACAGGGGTTTTCAGACAGTACCACAACGATCTGCTGAGAGTTTCTTCGGGCAAAACGAGGTGCAAAACTCAGGCTGGGCTCCCCCTAACCTGCAAAAGTTTGATCAAACTTTTAAAAATTTGGCATCCTCCTTGGGCCCCCCACAGGTCTCAACCCACAGGTTCAGAACCACCTGGTCAAGTACAGTAGAACCATTGGCTCCTATGAACTGGAGACAATTCTGTTAATGCAGACAAAGACTGTATTGGCCTTTTTAGCTGCAGCATCACACTACTTGCTCAGGTTCAGATGAGAATTTACAAGTAGTCCTGGATCCTTAACTCACAGGCACTGCCCAGGATCCCCGGTCACATACCTACATACTTGCTTTTTCTCACCCTATGGAAGTTAGCGTGCTGCAGTGTCTCTCAACCTCGGGAACTTTAAGCCGTGTGGACTTCAACTCCCAGAATTCCCCAGCCAGCATGGCTGGCTGGGGAATTCTGGGAGTTGAAGTCCACACGGCTTAAAGTTCCCGAGGTTGAGAGACACTGGTGTGTGGAATCACAGGAGATGATTTGCGGAGAAAGAAGTGCAATCAGTATCTAAATCCAAAGGTAGTACAGCCTCTCATCTTACTCTCTGGGCCCTGAGGAGGGGGACTGGGCTATTGTTGTTCGGCTTCAGTGGCCCCAAAAGGGCTACCCATGACCCATGGCGTTTGGAACCAAGGTTGGCTTAAACTGCAAACATTGCCCTATAAGTGCCTTCAACTCACTTCCGTGGGTCACATAGGGGGTCTTCAAACTTTTTGACCTGGGGGCCCCTGTGGAAGGTTAAGACCAGGTGGTGGGCACTCTCACAAAATGGCAGCCATGGGAGAATGGAGCCTTATGAAACACGGATTTGCCAGCGTGACACACACACACTCGTGGAATAGTCTATATGACCTCTGTGCACCCCTGTCCCTTTTCGAGCCAGGAGGCACCCTTCCAGGCGAAGCTTGGGGCTTCAGTTTTACTCGGAAGTAAACGCTGCTGCTGGAAAATCAGAGAGGCACGGAGTTTGGCCAGCAGCAACGGCCTCTGGCTTCTTGGTGCGCAGAAGAAGCTGCCGTGAAGACGTCTGCCATGCTGTCCTCATGCACCTGATGTAAATTTCCTCCCGGCTGCCAACGGCGGGTGGAAGATGCTTCATCAACTGCCTTTGGAGGATTTCACGTGGCCTTCCACTTGCCCCAAACCCACCCCAAAGCGGCCAGGTCGTTTCCTGCTGCAGGTTTAAAGCGGGGTGTCTCAGCTGCTTCAGGCACAAACCACGTTGCGTGGTTCATCTGGGGCACCTTGTGTTTAAGGGAGGTTAGGGGTGAGGCCTCCCCTGCTCTTCCTGGCTACCCGGGAGGCAGCCCCTTGGTCCGTGGCCACTGATTTTCTGCACTGCTTTCCTCGTCACAGCAGGAGAGTTGGGGTCTCCCTCTGTGCCCAGAAGCCGTTGCTCCTGGCCGTCTTACCAGCCCTGGCAGACCTTGGAAGATCTCCATGGAGTCAGAAGTGTCGGGGAAGGGAAGGGGATGTGTGACTTTCAGTTACCCCCCACATAAAGCCACTCCCCCCAGACCTCACAGATTAGGTACAGCAACACCTGAACAGCTGGGCCAATGGGTACAATTTTCATCATGTGTCCAGCGGCCTTCCTGAAGACTGCTCGATCCATGTCAAACACACACACGTGCACACACGCCCATGGATCATTTGCTGTAGTAGTGTCCAATCCAGGAGCACAGACTTAATAGAGGGAAAAAAAGGGGGTGACTGGATCTTCTGCCGTCGGTTCTTTCTTTCTTTCTTTCTTTCTTTCTTTCTTTCTTTCTTTCTTTATTTATTTATTTATTTATTTACAGTCCCAGATCAATAAAACACCAATACAGGTAGTCCTCACTTAATGACCATACGTTTAGCGACTGTTTGGAGTTACAACAGTGCTGAACAAAGGGACTTACAACCAGTCCTCGCGCTTACAACCATTGCAGCACCCCTGTAGTCATGCGATCATGATCCGGGTGCTTGACAATCGGCATGTATTTATGATGGTTGCAACGTCCCAGGGTCACATGATCACCATTTGCGACCTTCCCAGCCAGCTTCCGGCAAGCAAAATCAATGGGGAACCATGTGATTTGCTTAATGGCCACGTGATTCATTTGACGGCCGTGGCGATTCGTTTAATGACCGCTACAAAAAAGGTCGTAAAATTGGATGCAACTCACTTAACAACTGCCCTGCTTAACAACTAATTTTGCAGTCTCTATTGTGGTCATTAAGTGAGGACTACCTGAACACCAAACTGGGCATTATTCAGTATTCACCTCTTTGCTCACCTCATGAAATCAGAGAATCAGATTTCAGTTTTAGATCTACAAAATGACAGGGCTAACATCATCCCATCCCTATTATGTATGGTGACCTGTAGCTGTAGTGGTTTAAAGGCACTGGGTTAAAACCAGGAGACCTGAATTCTAATCCTGCCTTTGGCACCAGTCCAGCTGGGTGAATTTGTCCCTCTGTCTGAGTCCTAGGAAAAAGGAAGGGGAAACCGTTTCCAAACCATGTTGCCAACCAAGCTGCAGGGGCTAGTCCAGGCAGTGCCAGGAGCCAGGACTGACTTGAAGGCACGCGTGACCTAGCAGGCATTATAAACAAGAAGACGTAGCATCAGCCCATTCCAGGTTAGAGACTGGCAGACGTTTTCTTTTTTCTGCTCCTTTTTTCTGCTCCTCCTGCGGGGGACTGACAAACAAAACGTAGGCAGGTCTCACGAAGGGGGGCTATTTTTTTCCGCTTGATAAATGGTCAGAAAGTTCCTGCAGGCACATCGCTGCCGTGCAACTATCAGGCCCAGGGTCTTACGAAAAACGTGGCTTCTGATGCTACGATGTTTGTTCCTCCAGTCGATCTCTCCGCTTCTATATATGTATCCCGGCTGGACTTGCACATGGCCCTAAGCCATAAAACGACTGGCTGCTCCTGCTCGTGCAGTGGTGCAAGCCAGCCGCCGTGATTTGTTTGTAAACTACGGCTAAACAATGACTTGGTACGATGTGGGAACTAGACCAGGGAAGCTACTAATGTATTTACACACGGCAGATTTGGAAAACGCAGCTATTAGGCCGAGGATAAGATGCCAAGAGGCCGTGGGACCAGGCATTCCCGCAATCGCCCTGCTTGCGCGAGTAAATAAAGTTACAGGAATGTTGCGTAGTGAGCCCAAGGTTTTCGTGAGCCCAAAACGTTTCGCAGTTCTGCAGCGCCATCTATGCACCAACGGTTCTGCAAAGGCACGGCCCACCCCGTGGCCTAGGAGTGAGTCACAACAGAAATGTTGCAAAGTTTGCAAAGAAGCAAATTCCTCGGGATCCTGTCACCCCCCCCCCCCAGAACAGGAAGTTTTTGGTTGATTTGCTACGCCCCCAACCAAACAACATCCTATAAGCATCTTTAACAGCTTCCCCCATCATACCTCCTAAAAAGCCCCCGAGGGGGTGG